TGTTCAAGTTCAAATGTACACTTGCATTGTGGAATTTATCTTTTCAGGTAATATTTTTTAGTAATGCAACTGCAGATAGGTAGTATATTACATGTGTATATATATAATATGTATATATAATATGTATAAACATTAATGTATATGCACGCACACATATATGTGTATATGTAAGTACAAAACTGTTACTGCAACCAAAGTTAAAAACAACCCTGAAATGTGTGAACTGGGAATACCTTGCAAGCTGTGAGAGGGTGTTAATTTTTCTCTAATGCCTCACCTCCAAGTTTAAAGGATTTAGGCAAAAAATGTAGCTTTTGCAATATATTTCTCAAATAAATTCCTTCCCTTGGAAGACTGATGCAGGGAAAAATGAAACCTGAGGACGAACAGGTAGGAATGACTTATGAAATCATGACATTCGGGGAGTTAGGAGAGCGCGTGCACCTCCATTTAACCTCCTCTCGGGCTCTGATGTGTCTTAAAAAATTTGCCAAGGCAGTTCCATTTAACCAGCTGATTTTAAATTGTTCCTGGAGGCTGATTTTGTAAAACTTCTTTGATATTTTATAGTAGCACCGTTTTATGAGCACCATAAATGCCACAAACCCCAGAAATGGCATAGCATTTCCACAGGAACATCTTTTCTAAGAATCAGGGTGAAGTTAAGCTTGTGACTTCTGAAATCTATTAGCAGTTTAACTCGGTTTAAATTTCACCAGACTAGCTAACGTGACCATTAGTTTAATGTAATATCACCCATAGTATTTTGTTATAGATCTTCATTACTTAAATGTTTTTTTAAGTAATAAAAAAAATTTAAGTAATGTCAAATTATTTGAGCAAATAATTTATGACACTTTCAGGTGTCTCTCTACAAAATTCATAACTTAGTAACTTCGCTGTGCTTATAGATGTACTACTCTTAGGAAGGGACTAATTACACAGGCACTGGGGATTGACACTCTAGGGAAAGAGCATGTATTATTTTTGTATTGGGACACTAAGGAATTAATAAATCTAAAATCTTACCGTTGTAACTGCACGATGACCAGCAGATAACTTTGGCAGAGCTGAGTGAACCCAAGTGCCTGCATCTGATGTACTATATTCAATGTTTTGTACCTAAAAAAACAACATGGCATTAAAGGCATCATTTTCATTTTGATTCTTGAAAAAATAACAGGGCTGCTGCTGCTGTTTGTCCAGGTTTTTAAATTTTTCCTTTAGAATCAAGTTCCTTTTTCTACATGCTATATATTTTTAAAGGAATTGTAGTAAAGCATGTGAGATCCATAATGGCTGCAATTTCCTTTATTATAAGCGAAGTCACTCCTGCTGTGATGTAAAGGACTCCAGCACCTTTGCTTTCCACGAGAGCGCAATAATTGCTTACTCGAAGCCTCAGCATTGCCACTCAGGGCAGGGCGACAGTCTCTAGACAGACCTGCGATGCTTTCGCCAAGTTGAGCTTTTGAAAAGATGATATGCATTTCAGAGGCGTTGTTGCAGTTTGCATTGAGAAGCAAAAAGCTCACACAAAAGGCTGAAAAGGGACTCATTTTACCCCGAAGCAGAAAGCTATTGTTACCTCTACACAGGATTCCAATTAAAGCATATCCAAGAGAAAACAGCACTCCTGGAGATAGCAATGAACATTTCAGATTAGCTTTTAAGAGCTGCATTTTCAAAGTGTAAAAATAATGAACCTGGGCCACATCTGATAAACTCCCTAAGGGAAATGGAGCTTTGAGAATTGGGTGTCCTTAAGCTGATAACACTAAATTATTTTGCCCTTAAGTACATGGGAGCAGCGTGAAGCTTTGCATTTTACACGACTGACAAAGAAGTACAAGGAGTGAAGCGTGAGCCGGTGGACACGGCCTAGACTTTCTCAGCCTGCCCAGGGACATATGACAAGCGGCATTCCTCGGCCGATGTCAGGCACATAAACTAAGGCACAGTAAAGAGTAGTTATGGGTGGGCAATAATAGCAACCGTGATTTCCAACTATGACTGTAGCAATGTTTATCCAGAGGCAGGCCTTTCTTTCTTAAGAACAAGCCATCTCATTTAACCCTCTCAGTAACCCAGCAAGGAAAGGTAATTACCCACATTTTACAAACAAAATCAATAGGTTCAGTTCACATTGACGTAACCAGTAGGTGACTGGAGCTTTAATTAGACCTTAGCCAGCCTTATCATAATTTCTTTTTAACCTAATTACATCAGGGTGATATTTTAAAAAGAATAGCATTTCTATCAAAGCACAAGCTATATTTTCCTAATTAAGTTCATGATCACAATAATTATCATTCCTACTTAGAAATGATACAATAGAGATTTAAAAAGGCTGACCTGGTTTCCAAAGCCACAAAACTGGCAATAGCCGAGACACGATTTATATTCAGGCTTTCCAGTTCCAAACATAACGTTGTTTCAGACATCCCACCACAGGGAATGCTTCAGAACAGTGGTTCTAAACTTTTCTTTAATACGACTATTCTTCCTTCAAAGATCTGGAGCTCACCNCTTCTTCCTTCAAATATCTGGAGCTCACCATGACAGAAAAAAAAAAAAGATTATACTTGCTGACATTTTAATAATATTTTTAATATTTATGATAGGATTTATGTTATAATCACAATGTTGATAATGCAGTGATTGNATTCTTCCTTCAAAGATCTGGAGCTCACCATGACAGAAAAAAAAAAGAAAATATTTTTAATGTTTATGATAGGATTTATGTTATAATCACAATGTTGATAATGCAGTGATTGTTAAAGTATATGCATATATACAATTCAGTACTGGTATAACTATGTAGTAATACTGTGGAATATGCATTTTACTACTATGTTAAGTATAAATAGCAAAAAAAAAAAAAACTGGGAATTATACTTCTATCTATGATAGTAATACACATAGTTCCCAACAATTGTTTGTTACTATAGCTTACACATTACAGCACACACTTTCTGGCCTTATACATATCTAGCATGCTGTTATAGGATCAAATATCCGCATTTTCATAAGAGGAAGCTGCTAATAAAAAATTATCTGTTACTAAACATAAGGCAAGTCAGTAACATAACCAATTTGAACTGTCAAGGCCAAAATAGAAATGATCAACATATAGATAATGATACTTGACAAGGGTAATACCTAAAACAAAGGAAGTAAATTTCAAAGGAAAAGTGGATAGCTATATTTCCAGAGTAGGTTTAGCTTTGCTGCAGAGACAAGCAGAGTAAGTGGTAGAGAATTATGTAGCGTGACAATCCATTCATAAAATTTATCGATTTATTGATTTACAACTCAGTGTATGCTTCCTACAGAATGTGACCCTTAGCATCAGGCTCCGGAACCCAGCTCACCTGAACCTCTGTTCAGTCTCAGCCAGCCATCTCCTTTCACCCAGGGTCGTATTTCCTAGCTACCTGCTAAAAGGAGTTTAATTTTCTTCATGTGGTAATTCCTACATGATACTTGCATGTGTCCTGACTGGGGATCGAACCTGCTCTAACCAACTGAGCTATCCAGTTGGGGTTTTTATCTGCTAATTTTAAAGAAAATATTTCATTACATATTTTGGACTACAGAAATCTTTTCCCAGTATAGTATTCCTCTTATGATGCTAAGGCTCTGAATGGTAAATCTGATTAATAGAAATTTACTTTGCAGCTCACTTGACTATAAACTCACAAATTTCTTTTAAATAGTGACATTTAAATTTTCCAAATTATCACACAGATGTCATTGTTCATAAACATTTTCTAATTTCCAATTATGTCATCCTGCATTTATTTTTTAAAAGGTTTCTGATATTCGGTTAAATCAGAAAGCAATCAAGTCACATTAGATATTTTGAAGTAATGAAATGGAATTTCATACTTAATATTTTTAAAGGTATTGGGCTCATTTTGCTGAGTACTATGAGCTTTATTATATGGTCTTTTACATTTTGAACTAAATTTTGAGTTTTCAGATTCTTCATGTTCTGTCTTAAATCTATGTTTTGCAGTTATTTCGACTACTATAGTTCACTATTATGAGTTCTAATCAAAGTCCTTACCATTCTTCATGCATTAAGGATGGCCAGTTACTATCAGCTACCGTTAATTGGTCATGGATGCCAGAGTGCTATGATGAGAGTGGCTGATACTATATAAGAGCCCGGGATAGGAAAGGTGTAGCATTCATTACTCATATTCCTGCAAATGAATACTTGAAATATTGGGGTCTGAGAACTTTATCCCCACACCACTTTTGTTGGGTGTTGAAAAGTTAAGCATCCAACAGAGACCAATTAAAATTAATGCCCATCATGAGACATATTCTGATCATCTAGAATTCCTAGAGCACGTGCTAATTTGATTTTTTCTATGATTTGTTAGTGTTTTCTAATTTTTTAAAACCAACAATAAAGATGCTTTCAGCCTATTCAAGGAACTGAAGTGGGCCAGTATTGTTGATTAACAGAAGGCAAAGGGTGAAATGTCTATGATGTGATGGGGGGGGGGG